TGTGTTCAAGAAATATCCAGGGCCGGCCCAGTGGCGCAGCAGTTAAGTGCACATGTTCTGCTTTGGCAGCCCGGGGTTTGCCGGTTCGGATCCCGGGTGTGGACATGGCACCGCTTAGCAAAAGCCATGCTGTGGTAGACGTCCCACATATAAAGTAGAGGAAGATGGGCATGGATGTTAGCTCAGGGCCAGTCTTCCTCAGCAAAAAGAGGAGGATTGGCAGTAGTTAGCTCAGGGCTAATCTTCCTAAAAAATAAATAAATAAAAATTAAAAAAATAAGGATACAGTTATTTAAATTAAAAAAAAGAGAAATATCCATATGTTCTAGTAAACTTACTAGCTTGAGTAAATTTGAGCTTAAATAATGGCATAGTGATTGATTTTCTTCTCCATAGTGCTGTGGGTTTCTAAGAAGTAGGCAAAAACCAAGCACCATTCTGTAAGAGAGGCAGTGGACAGATCATGGGAGCTGGAAGGAAGAACTCTTGGTGCAGAAGGATTTGTGCTAACTTTCTGCCCTTTTTGAACATTAGCAATATTCAGGCCATTAATGTCACTTTTTAAAGAACTAACATTTATTGATGGTTTACTGCACTCCAGACACCTTACTAAGTGCTTTGCATACAGGAAGTCCTTTAAACTTCACACAACTGAATGAAATAGATGGCAGTATTAGACCCCCATTTTTTAGATAAGGAAACTGAGGCCCAGAGAGGCCCACTGAGGCCCAGAGAGGCCCACTGAGGCTGTGTGCCTGGATCACACAGTTGGGAAGTGGCAGGGTAGGCCTCGGACCTGGGCTCTGTCTCCAGAGCACACATACACCACGATCACACCGACCACGTTGCCTCTCACTGCACCCGTTAATCTAGGGGAAGGGGCATCGTCCTGGTCTCTGAGGAGCTTAAGTTCTAAGGCGCCTGTTTGTAAGTTGAACTGCTTGGGTATCGCAAACACGTGAGTAAGAAACAGCTGTTACCAGATCCCTTACACTGGCCTTCATAGAGCCATCCCCTGGCCCCTTTCATGACTAGCATGGATACTGAGAAGTCGAGGACAGGAACCGTGGCTAGCAGAGAGAATGTAAGAGGAAGTGAGCCAATGCCGAGGTTGGGCCAGTAGCCCTTGAGGTTTTCTCCTTGCGCTAGTCTCACCTCCTTCCCACCAGTTCATAAACTGCCTTCATTTTTCCACTTAATTACACCCCTTGAGATTCACCAATTCGTGACTTCTTTAGAGTTTCACACTTGCTCTTGCCTCAGGGCCTTTGCCCTTGCTGTTCCCTCTACCTGGAATGCTCATTTTCTAGACTGCTCCATGGCTGGTTCCTCCTCCTGGGTTTAACCCAAATGCTAACCCGTCAGCTGCCCCCTTCACGTCCTCCTCAGAGCTCACCACCATCTGCAGTGACTTGTTTGGTATCTGTCTCACCCACTGGAATGTAAGCACATGAGGGCAGGAACCATAGCTGTTCTGTTTATGATAATCTCATCAGCGGGAGCACAGTACCAAACACATAGTAGGCACTCAATGAATTTTTGGGGAAAAAATGCAGGAAGTGTTGTTTTTAAGTGGAAATTCTAGGATGATCATGGGACAGTTCACTACACAGGGAATTATGTCATTCCCTTTGTTTTCTCCGGTTGCTGGCAATTCCACTCTCCATTCACCTTGCTGAGCTTGAAGAAGAAGCTGCCATCCAAAGACCTACTTCCCCTCCACACCTGCCATCGTGGAGATCAGCCCTAAGCACATGCTTCCCTCTGAGAAAGTTCTGGAAGGTGCTCACTCCTCAAATCCAAAGGCCACAGGTGCCCATAATGCTCTGGTTTGACATTCCACATTCTCTAAATTCCTGCTGGTCTCACTTCCCCCTCCTCTCCACCAAAGAAGGAGAGAAAGAGATCTTTATTCCTCCTGCCAGGCTTCCCTATTGGTCATTTTATATGCTCTTGCCATTTCAACCATTGTTCGGCCTTTTTTTTCCATTTCTGTGATAGCTCCTAGCAGCAGAATAACGATAATAATAATAGTGACCATTTATTGGATTCTTAATGTGCCAGGCACTTGCTCTGTACACATCATCCCTTTTAATTCTCACAAGCACTTCATAAGGTAGGGTACCATTATCATCCTCACACCCCACTTTTTATAGAGGGGTACCTGGGGCTCAGAGAGGTCAATGAACTTGCCTAAGGCCACACAGCTAGATTCAAAGCCCTGCAGTCTGGCTCTAGAGCCCGCCTCTTAAACACTGTCCCACACCGCCTCTCAGTGCTTGAGAGCCGTTAGCTCCGTCCCCATCCTGCTCCTTCATTGCATCCTTGATGCTCCCTTCAGTCCCTCCCTAAGGAGGGATGTCACACAAGGGAAGGGCCATTTGGATGAGCTGGGGAGAGGACAGGTGAAGATCACGTGGGCACTGCCCCAGTGGGCAGAGAGCGCAGCATAGCACTGACGTCTGCAGGCTCTGGGGCAGAAATACAAATGTGGGCTCACATGCACTAAGTCTAAATATTTACAAGTTATGTGTCAGAATAATAAGCTTTCTAATAAAACACAGTCTATCCTCCTTCCTTCACAAATAATACCTTAGTAATACCTGGAACTCCAGATTCAAAGGCTGACTTCTCAGGCTCCTCAGGGTTTCATGCCAGAACGTGGCAACACAGGGAGAATTGGTCCTTGTCCTGCACCCTTTCTCCTCCCACCTCAAGCCTCACCCTGCACCCCAAGGCTTTGTGTGTGTGTGGCTATCCAGCTCTGTCCAAACCCCCACAGACACACCCTAGTCTGCACCCTAGTCACACTTCCAGCTTAGGGGTGCTCACAACTGCTGTGTATTTGCTCTCAGAAGTGACACAAGCAAGAGGTTAGGTTTCCATAGATTCTGGAAGAGGGCTCAGGGCCTATAGGGGGGGAATTCCAGGGCCCTGTGCAACTGGAATGTGGTCTGAAGGGTGACACGGGTTCTCGGTGAGCACACCCCCTTGGCCCTTGGACCCCTCACCTGTGCGGAGGGAGCAGCTGAAGGAGGGTCAGGGTGGAGCCCCCTAAAGCACAGGGACCAAGGCAAGGATCCGGAGGCTTGCCCAGGTCTAAAGCAGTACCAGCCAGGAAAACAGAGGACTGAGGACGACGGGAGGATGCCAAATACATTTCCACCCAGTCACGAAATGGTCATTAACAGCTGACACTGTTGGACACTTATTTCCCAGGTGCTCTTTCATGGACTTCATATACATTGGCTCTATAATCCTCACAACCACTCCAGGAGGCAAATTACTGTTAGTATTCCTCTTGCAGAGATTAGGCAACTAAGTTATAAGTAACTTGCCTAGTGTCACACAGACGGCATTGGGATCTTAACCTAGCTATCCTGGCCAAATCCATGGCTCTTAACTAGTGTGATACAAAAGGATAAAAGAAGAGTGACAATAAAGGGATGGTAAAACATATGTCAAGATATGTCAATTATATCTTAATAAAGCTGGAAAAAAGGATATGCCAGATCTAACAACATTGATATCAGACAAGACAGAATCGGAAGAGGACAGCTCTGAAAGGGCCGAAGAGGAGTAGTTCATATTGTCAAATGATAGATTTCATCAAGAAGCAATAGCATGAACCTTTATCTACCTAATAGCTTCAACATAGAAACCAAAAGCCTGCTAAAGTACACTTTAACAACAAGAAAGCCAGGGGCTGGTCCCGTGGCCGAGTGGTAGAGTTCACGCGCTCTGCTTCGGCGGCTCAGGGTTTCATGGGTTTGGATCCGGGGCACGGACATGGCACCACTCATCAAGCCATGCTGAGGCAGCGTCCCACATTCCACAACTAGAAGAACCCACAACTAAAATATACAACTATGTACTGCAGGCCTTTGGGGAGGAGAAGGAAAAATAAAATCCCTTTTTTAAAAAAAAATCGGATAAAGAAAAATTTAAAAATAAGGGCATAGGGGCTGGCCCCGTGGCCGAGTGGTTAAGTTCGCGCACTCCGCTGCAGGCGGCCCAGTGTTTCGTTGGTTCGAATCCTGGGTGCGGACACGGCGCTGCTCATCAGGCCACGCTGAGGCGGCACCCCACATGCCACAACTAGAAGGACCCACAACGAAGAATATACAACTATGTACTGGGGGGCTTTGGGGAGAAAAAGGAAAAAAATAAAATCTTTAAAAAAAAAAAAATAAGGGCATAGAGGACATAAATAATCAATACATTACCTACAACTAATGTTCTAATTAGCAAAAGACCAAGTCTTTCCTGTTTGTGAATTTTCCACCATGTGCACATATGTTTAAAAATAAAAAAGCAAAGGTACCTCCGTTTTTTTTTCTTTGCTGAGGAAGATTCACCCTAAGCTAACATCTGTACCAATCTTCCCCTATTTTGTATGTGAGCCACCAGTACAGCATGGCCATTGAGGAGTGGTGGACGTCCGTGCCCAGGAACTGAATGTGGGCCGCTGAAGCAGAGTGTGCCAAACTTAACCACGAGGCTACTGGGAGTGGCCCAAGGTACCTCCATTTTTAAAATGGTAAGAAACGACCATCTGATACTTCCCAATTTTAGCTATCAACACTCTTGTGCATCTCAGATGGGCTTTAAAAATGAGATTGAACCAAAAGAATACTTATTCTTTCCAAGCACAGCTGAAAATATCCATGCTTTTCTGAATCAAAATAAAACATAAAATTGTCTTCCCACGGAGCACACCATAGATAACTTATCTTTTCAGAAAGTCTTTCCATACACTAGACACATTGTCTTCTCAGGGTTTGAAAAGAGGGAAAACTGCATGAATACTCAGTTCCTGCTCCTTGCAGTGGCTGGATGATATTTTTGATTTCCAACAAGGTACACTAGAAGTTGCAGCAAACCTACGAGCACGTGTGCCTGGGGTGGGGGACGGGGATTTCCGAGGGAGATTTCAGGTATCACCCATGCCCCATGGAGAGTGGAGAGCGAGGACACGCAAGCCTTTCCAAGCCCCTCACCTGCATGCTGCTTCTTGTGGCTGCAAAGGGCGAGGGGAGAGGGCCCCACTGGAGCTATGTCCACAGACATGACAATCTTGGCACAGCTTGAGGACTTCCTGCAGAAACTGGCAGAGAGGCTAGATCGAAACAAGATGCCAGTCGGCCTCCTTCGTGATTAGCTCTTGGAAAACTGTTAAGTCATCAGGGTTGTTCTCACCAGGACTGGAAGACATTTGTCCAGGAAAGCAGATTAGTACAATTAAAGATGATTATAAGGTGAAAAGCTTGTACTTTTACTGCAATGGTAAAAATACATCTTTTCCACCAGTGTCCTAATAACTTATAGCTTTCTCGATGGACTTCACCTATTTATATAGAGCATTTCATTCAACATTCAACAAACATTTATTGAGCAGGTACTGTGTGCTAGGTGCCAGGGGTATAGCTATAAATAAGGTCCTTGTTCTAATAGCATCCTTAGGTGGGTGGGGAGAGAAACAATTAACAAAGAGACAATTAATTGCAGAGAGTGATAAATGCTATGAAGAAAGTAGAATGATATAATGCAGGTAGAGCTGCCAGATAAAATACAGGACACCTGATTCAATGTGAATTCCAGATAACCAATGTATCATTTTTTAGTATAAGTGTGTCCCATGCAATATTCATACTAAAAAATTATGCATTGATTTTCTGAAATTCACATTGAACTGGGTGTCCTGTATTTCATTTGCTAAATCTGGCAACCCTACACGTCACCTTACTGGATGTGGGAGTGGGCAATTTCAGATAGGGTGGAAGGCCTCTTTGAAGAGGTGACACTTGAGCTGGAATCTGAATGTACAGAGGGGGCCAGTCATTCAGGGATCTCGAAAAGGATTCTATGCAGAGGGAAGAGCAAGTACAAATGCTCTGAGGTGGGAGTAAGCTTGGAGCTTGGAAGAACAGAAAGGAAGGTGGGGTGGCTGAGCTGAGTGAGGGTGGAGAGGAGGAAGGTGATGAGGTCAGACAGGTTGGTTGGGGCCAGATCTTGTAGAGTTTGTGGACTACGATGAGATGCCGAGTAATTTTACCAAAAACGAACATCCATAAGCCTTTCACTACAACACAGCAACTTTTTCTATTTTACCCATAGGAATTGCTTTTACATATTTGTAGTCAGGGTGCTGTCAAAGATAAAGCCCCACACTGTTAAACAGTGAAAACATTTTATTCAGTTACTATTGGCAATAGGGGAAAGAGCTGAGATCCCTTCGGATTTGTGCAGAGGTGACTGGGCGTTTTAAAGGGAGGATGAGGGAGTGGAGAGAGTGGGGGCTCAAGTAAAAACTTACAAAGGGTTGGTCAGTGTAAATGTGACTAGGCCAGCTGTGTCTGCTAGCTGGCAGTTATCAGGTCGGCTTCCAGCCCCCCACAGAAACTGGAAGACAGAGGCCCTACCTTCCTGATGTTTACATTTCAAAGGAATGGCTTTCAGGTCCTTGAGAAAGACACTCCTGAATTGTAGGAGATACATATATATCTCAAAGGGACAGAGGAAGGATTCAAAATTGTAAGCCCTTTTTAGTAAATCCTCTAAGAAAGGGAGGTTGGGGCCTATCCTCAGATGTTGGCCAGAATAAACAGTAAATTCTCCCAGCAGCATTGAACTTTCTCAGGCATTCACTGGGAGTGGGGAGAGGATGGACACTGGGGTCATCCTAGGGACACGGCCTTATGCTGCTAGAAGCCATGTTCAAATTTGGTCATCTATTAGCACAGAGGTTTGGACAGAGTTGTTATGTGCTGACAGTTCTGCAGTTCTCATTGCTATGTAATTCTCTGTTCTTATAATATTTGTTTTATTGAATGATGACCAAATAGTGTGCCTTTCAGTCCCAGGAGTAGCAAGCTAGCAATTCTAAGGGACAGGTCTGAGTGGAAACAGCTGGGCCTGTTGAAGGAGGAGGAGGAAGTGGCTGAAATGAGGGTTGGGATTTCCATAAGTCACCATTGGTTTCTCTCTTTTCCCACATTCAATGTATCATAAGATCCTATGGGCTAAAATATATACTGAAGCTGTCCACTTCTCCCCATATGCACTGTTACTCACTCTGCTCCAGGCCATCACATCTCTCTCTTGGATGCATCCAACAGCCTCCTCACTGGTCTCCCTTCTTCAAGCTCTCCCCCCATCCAGTCCATTCTCCACACAGCAACCCATAGGCTTGTTTTTTGTCTCAGGAAGAGTCGCACTGAGCTAACATCTGTTGCCAATCTTCCTCTTTTTTTTTGTATGTGAACCACTGCCACAGCACGGCCGCTGACAGACGAGTGGTGTAGGTCCACGCCCAGGAACTGAACCTGGGCAGCCTAAGCAGAGTGTACCGAACTTAACCACTAGGCCACCAGGGCTGGCCTCTGTGGGCTTTTAAAAATATAAATTTGGTGTTCATCCTGTAATGGATGCGTGTAACACAAAGTCCAAACATGGGCTTATGAGGCCTGTGTCATCTGGCCCCTCTCCAATTCATTAGGCCTCAGCCTAGCTCATTCCTGCCTCTGAGCCTTTGCTATTGGCATCCCCTCCTCCTGGAATGTTCTCCAGGCTGATCTTCTCCATTTTTTTTTTAATTTAATTATTTTATTTAAGTCTTATTGGCTTATAACATTGTGTACGTTTCAAGTATATATCACTATATTTCAGTTTCTGTAAAGACAGCATGGTGTTCACCACCAACAGCCTAGTTTTAATCCATCACCATACATATGTGCCCCTTCACCCCTTTTGCCTTCTCCCCACCCCATTCTCCTCTGGTAACCACCAATCTCTTCTCTTTGTCCATATGTTTGTTTATCTTCCACACGTGAGTGAAATCATGCAGTGTTTGTCCTTGTCTGGCTTATTTCACTTAACATCATACCCTCCAGGTCCATCCATGTTGTCCCAAATGGCACGATTTTGTCGTTTTTTATGGCTGAACAGTGTCCCATTGTGTACGTATATACACCACATTTTCTTTATCCATTCATCCCTTGATGGGCATTTGGGTTGCTTCCACATCTTGGCTATTGTGAATAATGATCTAATGAACGTAGGGCTGCACAAGTCTCTTTGAATTGTTGATTTCAAATTCTTTGAAGAAATACCCAGTAGCGGGATAGCTGGATCATACGGTATTTCTATTTTTAATTTTTTGAAACAGGCTGATCTTCACACAGCTGTCTCCTTGTTGAAATTCAGGTCAGTTGTCACTTGTTCAGAGGCCTTCTCTCACCATCTCATTCACCTTCGGAGTCACTGCCGGCCATATCATCCTTTTTTAAAATTTTCTTCTCATAGCACTTATCAAGGTCCGAAATTCTTATATGTTTATGCCCTTTCTCCTTCTAAAACATGAGCTCCTTGAGGAACAGGAAGTTCTCTTCTGTCTGAGACGCTATGGACATGACTTTGGGCAGCTCGTTCGACAGTCCCTAAGACCTACTACGTGCCTGACATTAAGCCCTGGCACCAAAGTAGGTGGCAATCCAGCGGCCACTCGCTGGATCGCTGCTGTCTCAGGAAAATGGGAATTGTGATGCCCGTTAGAGCGGTCAGAGCCAAAGGGCATTGTCGCTTGTGACGTCAGCGCAAACACAGAGCGGGGCCGCGATTGGTCGTTCGAGCTCGGTGGGGCCCGAGCGCTCCCGGCCCCGCCCCCTGCCTCGGCCCCGCTCACGCATGCGCCCGGCCGCAGCCTCGCCGCCGCGCCATTTTGCCGGGGTTTGAATGTGAGGCGGAGCGGCGGCGGGAGTGGGTAGTGCCGGCTACAGTCTGTGGCTGCGATTCCCTTCTCCGTCCCCGTATCCCCACGAGGTAAGGCGCGGGGCGTGCACGCCCTGCCGCGGTGGCCTCTTGGGGTCCAGCTGGGGGAGGGATGTGGCGCTCCCGGCGCTTCCGAGCGCTGGGAAGCAAGGAGCGTAAGGAGCGCGCCTCTGGGCGGGAGCGGGACGTGGGCCCATGCCTCGGGCGGCGCCCCCGGGCAGGGGCTTGGCTTCGCCGACGGCTTTCGCCTCACCTCACGGCGCCGCAGGTCCAGGCCCAGCCCGGCGGCCCCGGGCCTGTGAGGGGCGAGGGCAGCCGAGGCGCGGCCTAACGCGAGGCCGCCCGAGTGCCCGCCCCTTCCCCTCCAGCGCCGCGCTGATTGGCCGCCCCGCCGTCGTGCTGCTCGGGAAGGCCGCCTCTCATTGGTCGCGTCCGCGCGTCCGTTCAGGGCGCTCCCGGCCGCCCGCAACGTGAGCGGAGTGCGGCGGCGAGGCCTGTCCGGCCGTGGGGCTGGGGATGCTGGCCGCCGCCCGGACCGCCTCATCCCCAGGCTCGCTTTCTAATTAGGGCGGAGCGGAGCGGAGCGTCGCCGCCCTGTGCTTCAGCCGCCCTGCTGCACGGTGGGCATCGCGGTCTCACTTTGCCGAGTTGTTAGGGAGGGCCGAATTCTAGTCCGTGCCCCTGGGGTCCGTGCACCTGCCCGGTAGTGGGAAGCGCTGTGGTGCGGTAGGTCGGAGCGTGGGCTCTGGAGTGAGAACGCCTGGGCCTCTCCCCGATTTGGCCTCTCCCCAGGAGTGTAACTTAGGGCTAGTCACATCTCTCCGAGCCTCCGTTCCTTATCTGCAAAATGGGCTGAAAATAGCATCTCCGTCGTAAAGCGGCTGTGAGGAGCCACTGAGTCGTTACCGTGGCTTAACGACTGAGTTAAGTCCCACCTGAGCTGACCCTTGTGCTCCTCCCCACCCGTCTCTTCTCCTCCTCAGCCCCTGTAGCCTTGCTGACCTGACCTTCCTTTTTCTCAAGTGTTCCAAGCTCATGCCTACCGTAAAGCGTTTGGACCTGCCTTTCGTTTGCTTGGAAATTACCAGCGTCAGATCCTTGCGAGACTGGCTCCCTGTCCTTCAAGTTTCACTGCTGTGGGGCCTTTTTGACCACCTCTCTAAAGACCTCTTTCCTTAAACTCATCATGTCACCCTTACAGTATTGTTTACTTCATTCCATTTATCCTTATCCAGAAGTACTTCCAGTTTACTTGTTTATTATCTTTCTCAACTGCTAGGATGTAAGCTTTGAGAGCGGGGACCTTGACTGTCTTGTTTACTGCCACATCCAGGTGGCCAGTGCTTGCCACGTGGTAGGTGCACAAGTATTATTTCTTAGAAGCACAGAAAGGGGCTTTTTACTCTTGGATCCCACTGGTGCTCTTTTCTTTCTTCCATTGGGCTCCCATAGTTGAATTTTTTGCCCCTTTTTCTGTGTGTGTCTTCATTTTTTTGCATAATCCCTAGGACTCTTATCTACCCTATTGTCTTCCCTCTTAAGATCCTTTACCTTTCACTTCTCTCCGTCAGCTTAAGGGAATTCTTTCTTTCCTTCTGGTTACTTTGATTTCAGCTATTTAAGGGCTGGGACAGAGGGAAACCCTTTCCTTTACAGGATTGGACGGGTTTGAGAGCAGTGCTCTACCTTTGGAATTAATTTGTTCCTTTATTCATTTAATAACTTTATTGAGTATCTACTTAATCTTTGAGAATAGAGTGAAGAAACAAAAATGGACAAGGTCTCTTGGGAAGCTTATATTCTGATGGGGGAAAGAAACAATACAGATAGATGAATTAGATGATTTCAGATAGTGACAAGTGACAGAGTGATATGACAGATGAAGGCGGCTTCTCTGAGCAGGTAACATTTGAGCTGAGACCAGCCATGGAATGGTGAGGGGACAGAACATTCCAGCAGAAAGAATAGAAAGTACAAAGGCGGGAGGACAGGAACAAGCTTGGAATATTGTAATATTTGAGGAAAATCCAGCTTGCTAGAGTAGTGTATGAAGAAGGGAGAGGTATCCAGGGGCCAGGTTGCATAGGGCTTTGTAGACAACGGAAAGAGTTTGGATTTGATTCTAGGTGGTATGTTCCTGTGATTAGATAGCAGAGGATGGGTCAAGGTGTTGGGGTATGTTGTTAATGTGTGTGTCAGATAGTTTTCATTCATTGGATCTCTTTCCCTTTCCCCAGATGTAAGGCCTCATGAATGGTTCTCTAATGTGGAGGAGATATCTAAGGAAAAGGCACACATCTTGGATCAGCTTATGTCACAAATGTCTGTGAGATGCCTTGGAAAGCGAAGCTTTTATTCCAAAAGTCTTCATCTATAACTGAGGGCCTGTGGGAAGAGGCTAGACTTAGGTCCAGCCAGTCATTCAACAAGAACAACTTGGAATTTAGTTAAGTCTATCATAATTGATTTATTATGGTACATGTTTTTATTTTTGCATATTGGTAGGGATTTCCAGAGATAGCCCTATGGAGAAAGTTAAGTATCACCCCTCATTTAAAGGCAGAAGAATGAATTTTCTATTTCTAGTTTGAGTATTTTAAAATCAATAATACCTTTTACATTTATATATTGCTAATGTTTTAAAGTGTCGAGGTACCATCACTTGTGGCCAAATAAGATAACTTAATTAGACTTTGATCTTGCTGATATGCTGTGAATACTTGTAGAGTATGCTCTACAATTACCTGATTTGTCATACTTTCCCAAACCAGGGCTAACCTTACAATTTGGTTTTATAGATAGTATCATAAGGAGATATAAAAAAGGTTTGTTGACACATATTTAGTCCCTTAACTAACATTAAAGTTCTAGGTTCTATGTAGTATTTTACTTTCATGGATTATGGCATGCATTTTATTTTATTTTTTTTATTAAGATTATGATAGATTACAACCTTGTGAGATTTCAGTTGTACATTATTGTTAGTCATGTGGGTACACTACTTCACCCTTTGTGCCCTCCCCCCACCCCCCATTTTCCCTGGTAACCACCGATCAGTTCTCCTTGTTTATATGTTAACTTCCACCTATAAGTGGAGTCATATAGAGTTCGTCTTTCTCTGTCTGGCTTATTTTGCTTAACATAATACCCTCAAGGTCCATCCATGTTGATGCGAATGGAACAATTTGGTCCTTTTTTATGGCTGAGTAGTATTCCATTGTGTATATATACCATATCTTCTTTATCCAATCATCAGTTTCTGGGCATTTAGATTGGTTCCACGTCTTGGCTATTGTAAATAATGCTGCAATGAACATAGGGGTGCATGGGACTCTTGGGATTGCTGATTTCAGGTTCTTAGGATAGATACCCAGTAGTGGGATGGCATGCATTTTTATTAACACACACACTCACTTTTTTTTTAACTTAAAATTAGTCCTACACTGGCACCTCAACTTTGTTGTTTTAGGGTCATTCTATCACGTGGTCTTAGAATCAGTTGTCTCTACCTCTTCCTGTTTGTCACAGTCAATTGACCAGAATAAATGTGAAGAATGATAGTGCTTCTGATGGAAAAATCAATCAAGGGGATGTAGCTTTTGAAAATAATACAACAAATACATAGTAGGTGCTCATCACTATTTATAAGGCTCTAGGGAGATTACAGTGAACAAAACACAAAGTCCCTACTTTCATGAAGCTTACGGTCTAGTGGAGGGAGAATCATAATAAACAAGAAAGCAAATTAATATGCTTGGTAAAATTTCCTGGAAAACTAGAGTAAGGGGATGGAGAGTGGCTGAGGTGCGTGCTCTTTTAGATAGGGTGGTCTAGGCAGGCATCTCTGAAAAGAGACCTGAATAAAGTGAGCAGTGAGCCATGTGGCTCTCCAGGGACAGAGCTGTCCAGGCAGATGGGACAG